CCCCAAAACCCCAAAACCCCATTACCTTGATTTCTTACATTTTGATTCATTTATTACAATCTATTAGAAATTAAAGCGTAATTTATAATCTATTAAAGTGTAGTTAAATCATATTCCTATCTTTGAATGAAAAGGTAGTTATATCGAATTATAGAATCATTTGCTTTCTTCATATTTGGTCTAGCATCATCAACTTGGCTTTAATACTTTCAATATACATGTCATTTACTTGGATAGTTTTGTCAACGTTTCTATTTGTATTTTGCCCCATTACATTTAGCATTTTCTCCTCTAGGTGAGCTTTTTATTCCAGTTAATCTGTCTTTATCTTCACTAATTCATATTTTTCCACATCTGATAGTTGAGGGTTAGCAAGAAGTCTCTCCATTTCTTGAGCCGCATAATTCTAATTTTAATTTTTATCTTGGCCACGTTTTGACTTAAATTCTCTAAGATAATCTTTTGGGGGTTTCTTTTAATTTTCATTTAGCAATTGAGATTAATTGCTATTTTAAGCTAGAGGTTTGATATTTCTTCTTTGAGGTCTTCTCTCCTCGTCCTTATGCATCATTTCTGGTTCTGAACTAAATCCATTATGTTTAATATTCTGTCCATTCTGTGAACTATGAGAGGAGATGTTATCATCTTTTACATAACTTTGAAGATTTCTTACACTTGTAACGTTTTTACTCTTGTGCTATTGAGTATAATTAACTCTGTTATCTGCTGTTCCGTGTCTTGCAATTGCTCTTTTCTTCTCTTATTAGCCTACTGGGGCAGAATACATTGCATTATCCTCATTGTCTCTTCTCAATGGATGCCTAATATTTTCTTTGACTGACTCTAGCTGCAATCTCTTTTATTCTGAGACTTATGGCCAGTACATTTCCTTGACATATTTTGCATAACTTCCAACCTTATCTTACATTTTTTTCTTATCTTATTTCTCCTTAAACATCTATTCCTTTTACTCCTTCTCATTGTTAAGGATATCTTCATAAAACTTAGATTTGTAATTTCTAAGCTAGTCAGTTGACTCAGATTGATATTCCAGGCCACCTCTTTTTTTCCTCAGTTCCTCTTTCTTTTGTCTCATGAGATCATCATATTTCCTAGAATGACTCTCAATATCATCCTTGTTGACAGATTTATGGTTATCCTTAATCTCTTTCAATTTCTCTAATCTTTCCTTCTCTAATTCTCTTATCTGTTCCTCTGAAAATTTCTTTTCAATCTCTTGGTATAGCTTTGGCTTTTTTGCAATCTTTTTTGTCTCAACAATCATTCGCTATTGTGACTATTATCTTTCCTCAATTCTCTATTTGATTCTTTTTTCAGCCTCCTCTCTTTTTTGCCTTTTTTCCTCCTCTAATTTACTGATTTCTTCATCTTACTTTTTCTATCTCTCTTCGATTTCTCTCTGAGTTTTTTCTTGCTCAAGTCTAAGCATTTCCTATCTTCTTTTTTCTCTTTCTCTCTTTTCTTCATTTATTTTTTTTACTAATAATTTTGCATCATCTAAGCCTTATTCTTTGACTGCCTTATTTTTATCATCTTACACATTTTACTTCTATCTTGTTGGTGATTATACATTTGATTCTAGGACTGATAAATCATTATTGAGAATTTTCTTTTCGATATTGTTGGTAAGTAAAATGCTTTGTTTAGCTTTCAATCGTTCGATTTCTTATTTTTTTTATTTAATCTTTTCTTGTTCCAATAATTTCTATGGATCTTCATTTCCAATTTAAGCTTCATCATTATTTATCTTGGCAACCTCGAAGTCATTTTTATCCTAAACTTCTTTTGAAACTAGGCCAAAGAGTTACTAATCTAAGGTTTATGACATTTCCAGAAGATGTTTTGAGATTGCAGCTTTTATGGTCATATCAGGATCATATATTGCAACAGGTAGATCTTCTTAAGAATTTGATTATTCCATTCAAATTTGTATTTTTCTAATTTAATTATTGCATTTTTTGTTCAAACTTTTAAGAAGGGGTTTTGGGGTTTTGGGGTTTTGGGG